ATAATATTATAAATATTGGATTTATATAATCATGATTTTCAAATGAATAAATTGAAATAAAGCATAATAATAAAATTATAATTATTATAGAAAATAAACTCTTACATAAATCATAATTACTATCATCGTTCGTTTCATAACGTGATATTAAAACAGCTAATGCAACTTGTGTATATGCGATTAATGTTCCTATACTTAACATCTCAACTAATGTTAATAAATCAAATATTAATGCCATAAAAGCTGATATAAAACCACCAATAAGGGTTGAATAAATAGGTGTACGAGACTTATTTGATACTTTACCAAATATTGAAAATAAAAGACCATCTGATGACATGGAATATAAAACACGAGGTAACGGAAATAACGATCCAATTATACTGGATGTAAGACCAGTAATAGCTCCAAGTGCAACTATAAACAACACAGAAAAAAAAATACAATTATCAATCGATATAAACAATAAACAATCTTACTTGCAATTTTAACATGTGAAAGGCCAACACGATCAAATGCATCAGGTAATGATGCATCAACTCGTATTGAATAATAAGGTACAATTAATGTTAATACAGCAGCAACAGCACAATAAACAATACAACAAACACATAGAACGAGACCTATACTAATAGGTATGGCCATTCGAGGATTTTCCGTTTCTTCACCTGTTGTAGCAACAAGATCAAATCCAACAAATGCATAAAAACATGTAGCTGCACCAGATAATACACCTGAAAATGAATAAGGTAAAAATCCACCAGTTCCTGCTTGAATTATCGATTGATTTTGTTTAATTTGATTTATTGATATATGCCAATTATCGGTATTTGCTTTAAATAGACCACTTATAACAATAACTAAGCAATAAAAAAAAATATTAGAAAACAAAATCTCTTCTCGTTTTTTATTTCTAAGTTCTTCTATCTTACTTGTTACACTAGTTAAATTCACTGTTGTACAAAAATTATTCATTCGACTTGATTCTTTAACACCAATAGCTAAAATAATTGCTGCTATTAATGTTATACAAAATGCTCCTATATCCATATAGGGTGCAAACATTCCATATGGATTATTAAATGGAAATGGAAAGTACTTTTGAAAAAAATTACTCATACGAAAATCAATTATTGAATCAACTGAACTTGTCCATGCACGTGCTGATGATGCTATCTATGCCAAATGAATATGTTTAGCTTTGTTTTTTTCTAATTAAAAAAAATTTATGTCTTACCAGCACCAACTATATATTCAAGAATTAAATTCCATCCTTAAAAGAACAAAAAAAATGAATTAAAATATCTTAATCCATATTTTCAATCAATAAATACACCTGTAATAAAAGCTGCTAATTCTCCAATAACAACATATGAATAAACATAAGCAGATCCTGCACGCGGATATTTTGAGCCTAATTCTGCATAACAAAGCCCAGAAAATAATGAAGCCATACCAGCAATAAGAAATGATAAAATAACACCGGGACCAGCTAAATCTCGTGCAACTGTTCCCGCAAGAATATAAATACCAGCGCCTAATGTACTACCAATCCCTAATATAGTTAAATCGAATACTGTTAAACATCGTCGTAGTTGTGTATGAAAAGCATTAGCAGCTGTTATCTGTTTACGACGTGATAGAATAGTTAGCGTACGTTGTGTAAAACTATGCATATCTATGTCTCCAATAGAACTATCGATGAATCATGCATAGAAAAAAAAGTAAGTGTATATATTTTTTGATTGTACAAAGATTTGACTTAATTTGATCGATACAATTTTAAATCAAATGCATTACAATGTTAAAGTCAGTATGTTACATCGTAAAAAACATGATTAGTTTCTTTGATAAGTATTGATGTGTGACACTATTGATAAGCACAAATAAACGAGTCGTATATATGCAGAAAAAAATTTTTTTTTCTTATTTTTTTTTGTTGTTGTAGCTTTCTTTTTTCTTTTTCTTTTTTATATTTCTTCCTATACCACTTTAACGTGAAAACGACCGTCAAATACAAAGAAATTTGACTGCTACAACACACATACACGCATACAAGATTCTCATGGTCGATACTCATGTGCAGACTGCAAGAGTTTTATTGAAAGAGGAAAGAAGAAAAATAAATATAGAAATTTATGGGACGGAATTTTTAAATGTTTCAATATTCATATGATCTTATCTATTAATAAAATAAGTGTTTATTGATTACAAAACTCGAAAGAGGCCTTTGTACGCATGTAACTATTACACGCATGCGTAGTAGCTTATTCATGTTACTGTTCAACCGCATCACTCCGCCTCTTTAGGATGTAATCAGCAAGTAAAATAGGAGTAGACACTATACATCATATTTACAATGAAAGAGAAAGTGGGACGAATACTCTTTTTTTTCTTTTTTTCTACATTCGTCTTTTGCGAGCCGATTGAATATATTGAACGGTGTGCGTACAGTAATGCATATGCATGAAATGGATGGGTATAGAGAGAGAAAGAGAGTCTCCTAAATCAAAATAAAATGGGCTTGTTTGATTATAGTGAACATCACAAAATATTTTTTTTACGTCATGCAACTAGTCAATGAGTGAGCAAGACTAAAAGGTGTTGTCTGGCTTTCATTTTTTATTGTCTCCCACACTTACGTACGTACAAGCTAGTTAGACCAATTTTTTATATGACTATACATATATATCAATACATATAGACGTATTTTATATATGAATTGATGATTGATTGGATGGATAATTTCTTTTATTTTCGTTTGAGTAAGTGTCATTTACATATAACAGTATTCTATGACCCGATTAACAAGTTCATTGGATCGGTTGTGAATATTCTCAAAAGTAAAGATAAGTATAAGAGAAAAAAAGAATTGTACATTTTCTTTTGGTATTTTTTCAGCTATATATGTTTGAAATTCATTGAACTTGTCATATCATATGTCTACCCAGACGTTGTAAAATGATTAAAAAAAAACAAGAAAAATAGTCGTGTTTTTTGCTGAATAATTATGATTTTATCTTTTTTCTCATATCGTTCATGTACAAGTATGATAATACAACTCAAGTCTTTTTCATTTATTCATTGAAAATTTTACTCGCTCAAACAACACAGGATTTGGCTTGCAATGAATATGAATGTGAAAATGAATTACTAAACTACCTGTGTATATGTACGTATATATGGATATTCTTAGGCGTTTTTTTTCATCGCCTCGCGACCCATTTTCTGGAGAGTTTATATATGTAACATATATATATATATATATATATAAATATAAGTCTATGCACGCGTTCCGCCAAAGGTGAGATGAAATAAAAGTGTAAGTAGTAACAATAGACAGTGGTATTTTTATCAGTTTTCAATTCAATTCAAGCTATAGAATAAGTGGTGCAATATGAAATTAAGAATAGACGAAATAAAAGCACACTTCAGTATATTGATGATTGAGCAATCAAAATTGCCTAGTATTCTTCTTTTTTTTTTTGTAAAATTGTTTGTATATCATAATGTTCTTCTATTTTACTTCGATGAAAATATGGTCACTTGGTAGTCAGTCTAGTTTAAAGACTTTGAACAAGCAAGATTCTTCTTGTTTTAACTATTAGAAAACGAATTCATTTTTGTTTTAAAATTATTTCAGATGTCTTCTTGGTCAAGCCTACATATTATCTTCTCATTTAATTCAATGAGTCTGGTTGACATTAATTATTGTTTTATTCTATTATCAAATTATATAAAGAATACAATTTCATATATTTGTATTTAATAAAAGGAGAAGATTTTCATTAACTTCTCCTGTTCATTTAGACTTTAAATTCAGTCTATAACAAAAACCAAATAATTAGATACATCGTTAAAGGTAATAATAACAAACATAACACCTGTCTTTTGTTTTTAAGAATAGCCTACTATATCAAGGAATTACGTAAACACTCGATAGTTATTCATATTACTCTGTTCTTGCATATTGTTCATATATGTATTCATTTCAGTCAAAAGCTCTCACGATTGACGAAGTGATCGTTTAGTTGACCATAAAATTGTTTGAATATAAATGTAGTGTTTAAAAAAAAGAAAAAGAAAACAAAAGCATGACTGTTTTATATCTATTTATCGCGCGTGCATTGACTCTCTTTATTTGAGACATATCACACGTTTGAATAGAAAAGGACAATCACATTAATCACACAGTGGGATAGTATCAACCATACTTTCTTTTACTTTTTCTCTTTCTCTTGTTTGATAGAAAATACAATTTTGACCGACTCTCGATACGCTATCGAATATTACAATCGATCAACGTGATTATTCGCCAAAATTTTGCTTACATACTCTATGGCGTACATAGATACACATACATAAAAACGATAGTGGTGACGGCAATAAGCAAAGATTGATCATTTAATTGCTTGAAGTAGGTAAAATAGATCACAGAACTAATATGCAAACAAATGTACACCTATGCATGTGCGTTTATATACACACACACACATGTATATATATATATATATATATATATATATATATACATGACTATATAGTAAAAAAAAGCATCTTCAACCTTGATTCATATTGATGCTAGTAGTCGTTATCACTGTGATGAAATCAAATGACACAATACATTTTCATCTATTACAGATAAACACAATAGAAGTCTATGTCTGTTTCTATTAGTCTCCTAGAATGTACAAAAGATATGCACAAGTGAAATAGATAAACTGTTTCTTCCTAGCATTAGTTTGATTATATACATATATCTTGTGACATACAATCACTTTTTTCTCTTTATTTATTTTGTGCTCATCGAACTGTTTTTTTTTGTCTATTCAAAACTATTTTATACATAGAACGAATAATTATTAGAATAAGGAAAAAAGAAAATAATGTCCGTAACATTTCACCCTATAAAAATGAAAGTAACTTCAGACAAATATAAAAAAGACACAATAGTCAGCCGCAAGTAAATTATTAATCATTTTTTTATATTTCAGATTTCCATGGCTGAACCATCGGAAACATCATCAGGAAGTATTAAAAATAATTCAAATGTAATAACAACAATTCAACCAACTACAAAATTAGGTGGTCGTGGAACACCACGTCGTAAAACACGTCGTTCTAATAACAATAGTCATTCAGTATTAGTTGCGGCACGCACCTTAGAAAATAAATTAAAGCCATTTCGTACACAATTTCAATTATATGACCAACAAGAATTATGTGATGTTAGTATTCTATATGAAGATGGTCATATTGATATACAAAATCAGGTACGAGTACATTCAACATGGCCAATGACAATACATGAAATCGATTCTTCTGAAACTAATATACAAACATATCATATTAATGATCTTGATTTGATGTCTAGTTCCTATTTGCTTGGTAACCTTGATACTTTACAAGATGAATTTAATAGACAATCAATAACATTAGCAACAACAACACAAACACCACCAACAGCAAGTATATTAAACTATGTTAACAATTTACAACAACGTCAATTTTATTCTCAACCATCTTATAATTATATGAATTATATTGGTTATCAACATAATCCATATGCAGCTAATGTTTATGATAGTTTTTCAAATGATATTCGTCAAATTTATGGTAATATTAATAGAAAATCCGATGATGAACAAGACGAAGAAAAGGATGAAGAAAAAGATGAAGAAAATGATGAACAAAAAGATGAACAAAATCCAACAATAACAAAATCAAAACGAAGAAGACGTCGTTATAAACATAGTACAGTAAAATCTGAACAATCATCATCAGTTATACCTAAAGAAGACGAGATGATCATTGATAAACCAATTGAACATCTCGAGAATGAAAATATTACAACAAAACAAACAAAAAGTAAGCGACGAAGAATACGTAAGTCAAAAAAATCTCTTCCTTTATCTTCAACTTCCGGTGCACAAGAACAAACTTCTATTATTATTGAACAACCTGAAACAAATTCATCTTCTTTAATTAATGAAAAAATAAATGAAGATACTTTGTCGTCATCAACGCCTACTCAACAAACCGAGCAACATTCTTCATCTATTGAGCTTATGGAACAACAACCATTAACGTCGATGAATAGTGTCATGCATGCGGATAGAAATTCTTCTACTGAGCATGTTGTGAATGTTCCACATAAGGGCGAAAAGAAAAAGAAAAAAAAAGAAAAAAAGGAACTACAACTAGCAAATACTTCAACAAGAACTACTAATATTATTGTCGATGATGTTAATCCAACGGTTCCTACTCATACTAGTACGAATGTTGTCGACATAAATGCAAAGGATGATAAAAATAAGAAAATCGCATTGCCTGTTGTCGACAATACATCTACAACTAATACGTCTAAAAATGATAGTCTACCAGTGATAATTATCACTAATGATGACAATAAGAAATTAGATAAAAATATTTCAATTAAACGAAAAAGAAGAAAAAAAAATAATATTAATGATCAACAACAAATAATATCATTCGATAGTCAACAACAATTATTATTGGATAATAAGCAAGTGAGTAATTCATATACATATTTTTTTTCTCAAAATACTTTTTAATAATAGGAGCATTAGAAATAAGTATTCAATCATTTATTTTATTTTTCCTAAAAAATTATGATTGATTAATGTTTCTTTTTCTTAGTTTTCTTGCCAGCCTTCTAAAAAAATAAAAAGAATAATAAATAATATTTTAGATCGACCTTAGTTTTGACATTAATCGTTTTATTTTATTATAGGATTAGTTAGCATGCAAAAGTATTTTTATTTATAAAAAAATGATTGGTTACAAGTGTCTTGTTTCGAAAATCAATATAAAATTCAAGGCTATATTTTTAATCATAGCCTTTTTCTTACAATCATAGGTATTCAAATATTGAGAACAGAATACTTGTAATAATAATAATAGCAATAATACTACTAATAATAATAAAACATTTTGATCTGAATCAATCTTTATTAAAACTATTTAATCATGAATATTTACGAAACAGTCAAGCAAAAAAAAACAACAATACATAGTGTATATTTGATTTGCTTATCACGTTTAAGGTCTTATTGATGATTAAAGAGTTAATCTTGTCTTTTCTTTTTATTCTTTGACAAGATATCACTTTATATGAAAGAAAAAAAATGAATTCAAAACACGAATAGCATACTAACTATATGCATGATTAACTTGTTAAAAAACGAAAAATCGTTCCGCATCATTGAATGATTTTTATCATCTTAAGGAACATGAAAATATGAAAATAATTACTATATTTTTGCTAAAATCAAATCATATTTAAGTCGTGTTTGTTTTCATGGTCCCCAATGCTAAATGGTTTACTCGTCTAGGTCTACTAATTCATTCTAAATCACACGAGTATCTTCTTATAATATCAATAATTCAAATTTTTCTAATGAATAGATATAGATAATATGATTTTAATTTACTTTATTTTTTTAATAAAAACACAAATTCTTTTATTGAAATTTTAAAGAGAAAATCTTATCAGGATATTTGCCCTTTTTTTTCTTCTTTTTGTCTAGTCAGATTTATTATATTTCCTAATAATTACATATTCATACTGAGTATACATCAAAAATGTTAAATGATCTTTTTATTATGTTTTTTTTCCTAGTACGCATTCAAAATACAATTCATTTGTACCTTACTCACGTATTGAAATTATCGTTAAACATATATGTATCTTGTTCTTTCTCACATAATGAATAGTTTAAATAAATTATTCCGCATGTTTTGTTTTAAATTATGCGTCATAAAATAATTTATTCTATTTTTACTTATTGAAGAACAAAACCAAAACGGAAATTTAATGTTTTTTTTTTCTGTCAATAAAATTCATTATATTTGTGCGTAAATCTATACAAAAAAAATATATTGTCATCAGCACATCTGTTTCAATTTTATTCTTCGTTTTTTTTTTTCAATTCTATTCTTCGTTTTTTTTTCAATTCTATTTTCAGAAAGCCAACACAACCCATACATCGGATATTGACAAAACGTCCTTTTCTAATAAGAACCTTAGTATGAGTGATAAAAATGATGATCTATCCGGTAAATCAGTAAAAACAATTTCAAAATCAAGTGATACACGATCAACAGTTGAGCCATCGTTTGATAAAGTTCAAAAAACAACATCACAAGACAGTTCAAAATCAAATGTCATAATTGATAATTCTCAATATTTACCATCAACATCAAGTAAAATATCCGTTGGTGAAATTTTATTAACTAATAAAAATGAAGATCAACATCGTCATGCAATATTACCTTCTTCATTATCTAAGACTGATCATATTACTGAAAATTTAACAACAACAAATAAAGAACAATCAAAATCAAACTTAGGTGAACCAACACGTGACTCAACACATGTACTACATATTGATAATGATAATAAAAAAACAACAAAACTTTTAAATCCTGATGCACCAGATTTTAAACCAACTCATTTTACAACAACATATCGTTCAGAATTAGCACCTACGCATTTAGAACGACATGCAACATATGCAGATCCTCATAAGAATCGTCATTCACGTATACGTTATTATTCAGATACATATCGTTATCCTGAATCTTTAACAACTTCAACAAATACATCAACTATAAAACCATTATTATCAATTATACCACAATATATTCCACGACATCAACAATCATTTACTGCAGTAACACCATTATCATCATCAACAAATGCATGGTGGCCACAAGAATATAGTCATATGTTATGTTCAGCATCATCATATTGTCCAAAACCAGCTTATCAACTTTATACACCTTTAATACAAAAACAACAACAACAAAACTTAACTGATGAAAATCAAAATTTACATCATCTGCAAAAACATAAACATCCATCAAAACGAATACGTACTTATTCAGGTCGACCTTTTGGTCAACTAAATCAAACAGAAACTGGTCGAATACGTTCATATTCAGGTCCTGAAACATCTTTGCAATCATCATCTGCACATCTTGATGGTATTCATTCTTTAACAAGAATTATGGTTGATATATTACGAGGAATTAATAAAACATCACAAGAACAAAAACATATACATGATACAATATCATCTTTAGATTTAAATTCATATTCATTAGTGAAAAATAAATATCAACAACCTTCATATCATTACATTAGACAACCTTTACAAAAAGAAAAACAACATCAGAAATCTAGTGAAGCAAAAAATGACCTTGTAGATGAAAATATCTCTACAAAAGCTCCACCGTTATTGCCATTATCGGTCGATAAAGCAGCAGGTATTTTTATGCTGATTAGTTTATTTATGCTTCATCTACCCAGTTTTAAGGTAAAAATAAGGAGAATAGCAAGAAAAAAAACGAAAAAATGCCTTTTTGATTGAGATGTGTTATACTACAACAAAAACGTCTACTCTCTCGCATTTTAATATTTTTGTGGATGATGATGATTAATAACAATACTTGAGGGAGAAAAAAAGCTACTGCACACCAACATATCGACAAACATATGCGACGTTTTGACGATTGTAATACATTATCGATGTAAAATATAATTTTCTTTTTCCTTTTTTTTTTCGCATTACTATTAAGCAGACGGAATAACAAAAACAAGTTAAAAATACATGTGTCATTGCATGTATCGAAACACTTAAAAAATCAGCAGCATCCAGGCATTGACTAACGATCTTATTACATATAATGATCTAGATAAATCTATGCAATTTAGTTCTTTTTTTGGAGAGAATCAAATTTCTTTATTTATATATTAAAGAAAAAGACGTTTAATAAATGAACATATATAGATTGAGAATAGAGACAATTACAAAAAAATAACCTTTGTATATCTAACTTAATTGGATTTCGTATATGTATAGATCTGTATATGCAATAAGAGACGATTGTTGACAGATAGAATCCACCCCCATTCCTTGCAAACTCTTATGTAAAGTTGTTCTTTTGTCAATGAGAAATGAATATTGATGAGAGACAGCTTCTTTACTTGATTATGTCATCAATCGCAAGTATATTTAGTGCACTATAATTGTCTTTGAGAAAAAAGAAACTTCTACGATGACAATAAATACTACATTCATGATGACAATATGTACTGTATGCAACTTTTAACATTTTTTTTTTTGACGGCCATATTGAAATATTTGCATTTAGATATTAAATCAAAGACATAAAGACGTTGAAAAATGCGATATACTCAATAAGAAAAGCATTGAAGCGTGTAGAAAGATGTTATTCATGTAACTATAGGTGTCTGTACAATAGCCTGTCATTTGTAATTGTAGCTGACGGATTTTTACCTTTCAATAATGTCATTTTCCTACAGTCCAGTAGATGGTTGTATAACCTATATCGTACTTATTAACGATATATAAAAATGATAGATATCATTCTTTCATTTTTTGCAAAATAAAGGTGACTATTTAATGATAAAAATCATTAGATGTTTGCATGCATATGTGGACACAAAATCAATTTCATTCATATGATGATTCGAATATTTTTATCAATGATCAAATGAATATTCTGATAAAGATCTGTTTCGCTTTTTTTCTTTTTTTCAATTGCACGAGGGTTCTTTTAGATATTGAATGAACATGAAAATTAATGGAAAATAATATTTATATTTTTGTTTAATTTTAGCTGTGCCTGATAAGACTGAAACCTTATCGACAAATCTTAATAATACTCAACAAAAACAAATATGCCCGTTGATTTTGCATGATACCAAGGAAAAAAATGCAATAGATACCGATTCAACATTTTCTACGAGTAATAAACAACTTTATGATACTACTAAAGAAGAAGAGTCAATAAAATCAATGTCTAATACTGTTTCAGGTACGCATGCCGTTCGAGCAGTTAATTGAATTGATACTAACACATACATATGTATATATATATATAACACATTTCTTTTTTCTTTACTAACTCTTAGACAAATTATGCTAATTGACATTAAAACTACCTCGAGTCACAAAACTGATGACAAATATATAAACATAGATTCTTTTTTTTTTCTGTTTTTCTTATATTTCTTCAACTTCTGCCAACATTCATCAGGTTTTTTGTTTTTAGTGTTTTTGCTTCTTCTCGCTCTTTTTTATTTTTTACTATCTGAAAACATTTTTATTTGGCGTACACATATTTGTCTGCACTTTCTGTATTTTTTTTTTATTCTTTTCTCTTATTCAGAAGCTTCCATTGAAAACGAAGAAAAAGAAAAATCTGGTAATCGAGGCCAACATATGGCGAAAAAACTCGAAGATGAAGAACAACACCAGCAACGGCAGCCAAAATCTACATTTTCATCATCATCTTCTTCATCAGAGCCAAGTAAATATTTTGAATCCTCATTATTAAAAAAAACGGACAAAAAAAAATAGAAATTCTAGAAAAAAATAAATAATGTACCCGACATCATTGATGACAAATGACGTTTGCAGTAATAGTAGACCTTCAAGCATAGATACGCTCCATAGTAATATTGATGATGGTGTGATGAGAAAAAACAAAAAGAAAAAGGAAATCTACGTATAGAGAACAAGAAAATTGGGTAAAAAAAGAAAGGAAGAAAAAAGCGACGAAGGAAATATGTACAACAACCATGAAGGACGAAGAAAAAGACAAAGACATGAAAAAATCATTGCTTTTTATGAGGACAAATCCGACCCCTAATAGCGATGATACGAATATAACGATAATAATAAAGGGAAAAAAAGGAATACAAATACTACTCATTATTTTTTTCCTTTTCCTTCTATCAATCCCGATTATAATCATATTGATGCACAAGAAGACATAGAAAAAAAATATATTGATTTATTAAAAGGGAAAAACACAACAACATCATTGTTGATGATAAATCGGCAAGAGGAATATGTACCACAATCTCTTATGCCTTTCGTCAATGATACTAGTAGCATGTCGACTGCATCCACTCATGCTATTACTACAACTTCTATCAATAATAATAACAACAGCAATAAGCGGGATGAGCAGTATGCAGATGCTACATCGAGTGATGATGAAAGAGCAGCAATGGCGACGGCAAATGTCGACGATGGGGGCGAAAATCAGAGAGACGGAGAAAAAGGTGAAAGAGAAAAAAGAGAAGACAGCATCAGAAGAACGCTAGCGTCGACGACGGCGAAAAAGCAAGAAAAAACAGACGAGAGAGAAAGAGCAAAGCAAGCAGCAAATAAATATATTGATTCAGTTACTTCGTTTACAAGCGAGCAGCACAGTTGCCCGAGCGTCGTCCGCCTAAGTGTTGACGACTCAATGGCGAACCGTGTCTCGTCGTCTTCATACAATAGAAATAATCATCGTCAAAATATTCCATCGTCAAATAATCGTTCAAGTCGTTCGACATTTACAACACATACATATGCATCTACAAATACTTTTAATACAGAACCAACATACACTACAACACCAATAACAGGTGATCCTCGAACTCTTCATTCATATTATGTATCATCATCGAATTATTGTCCACCACCAACAAGTCCAACAAATTCATTAACTCGTCATTACCGTGAATATGAGCCATCATATCCATCTATAACACGTTATCGTACACCATCATCTTCATCTCCTTTTCGTAAAACACATTATTTAGATGATTCTGATGAAGAAATAATTAATGAAGAAATACTTGAAATAACTGATCTTAATCATTACCCAACACTAATTGAACGTTGGGGTGATGATGCTAAGACAATAGTTAGACAAGAGGGTGAATTCAAATTTGAAGATTTTGTTGAATTTGAAGAAGTTGAACCAACTGTTGTTGAAGAAATTCTTTATGAACTTGTATATACTGGTGATAAATTAAAAACATGTCGACAAATTGATCGTTCACGTTCTGAATCAAGAAATTTTCGTAAAATAAAAAAACGTCGTACAAAACGAAAACGTCCACCAATTGATGATTCATCTTATTTAACATCACAACCTAGTTCAAGAGATACAAGTGGTACACGTTCACCATATCATCAACATGATCATCGATATAGTCCTGAACGTTCAAGTACACCAATACAATCAGCACCATTATCTACATCATGGCAATCAACAGGATTTATTCCTAATGATAAATCATCACTTGATATATCTATGCGTAATCGTTTAGATGATCAAAATTATGTTAATTATGTTCGAGTCAATGATACTGATCCATTTTTTTCACACACTCAAATTCAACAATATCCACAAACACAAATAACAAGTAATATTCAACATAATACACGTCAAACAGATTTAATTGATCAACAAAATAAACATTTCTATGATCATATGCATGACTTATCAAGTCACATTGATATATCAACTACTCATGATGATACTTTAAATGGTACTGAAGATTTTACACCTGTTATTAGTGAAGTACAAGGAATAACAAAAATAAATATTATACCAACAAGTCATGATTATAGAAATGAAAATTTATCTATTAAATCTACAATTGATACACAGAAAGATACATATGATATTAGTTCTTCCGACAATTTGTTAACTACTACTAGAACAACAGACAATGAAGAACCATCAAGGACAAATACAATCGATCAAACATCTGTCCAGAACGAAATCAACAACCGTAAGTTATTATTCTTGCTCTTTTTTTCTCTCATCAAAGATCAAATAACATAAACATATGAGATATATGTCTCTTGGAAAGAAAATTATTAATACATAAGACATTGAAATTAATCATATTAACATTATAGAAAAAAAAAAGAATTCATAATCTTCATACTTGAGAATACATTGAACTTTATAAAATGTCAAGATTTTTTTTGTTAATATAAAAATTATTTACATATTAACTATCAAATAAAGAGCAAAAAAAAAATATAAATATTGATAATTAATTACTTTTTTTTTTTCAAGGTGGGCAAGATTATTCTACTGATATGGAAAAACAAATCAATAAAAAAATCACATCAAAACATGACGAATTAGAAAAAGATGATGAAGAACAATCAAGTGTAACAGAACCAACAATACGAGAAATTATTAAAGATGATGACGCAGAAGGAAAAGATACTGATGAAGATGCCTCATTTTCTGAAAGTGAACAAATATCATCACAATATTTTATGTCAGATGAACAGAAACAATCATCAAATTTAATAAAAACAACCGAACAATCCGATCCATCACTTTTATTACCAATACATGTTAAACAAGATGATCGCGAAATCATATCAACAACAACAGACTCATCAATCAATAAAATCAATGAATTAGAATCACAATTACAAACGACAGATTCAATATTGAAATCATCCGAGACAAATATTGATCGAGAAGTAAATTTTTTTTGTTTTTTTTTGTTTTCAAAAATCCTATTTCAATATTTTACGTTTGTTCTTTTTTTTTTCGTTTCTATAGAACATTAAACCAATACAAACAATTGAAAGTCCTTCTCTTATTGCACATGTTGAACATCAATTACCTGAAGACTCACTTGAAACAACAAAGTAAACAAAAAGAAAATTTAATTATGACAATTACTTTATTTGATATTTCTATTATTTAGAACTTCACTGGAAAAAACTCATGAAACATCTATTCCAACAAATATTTCGGATGAGAAAAAAATATTATTATCACAGGATCAGACAACTAATGAAAATGATCAAGAACTTCGATCAATGTTAGATTCAATTGCAGCTCATCTTATGCCAGAATTACCAAGATTTGATGAAGAGACTGAAGATGAACAATCATATATGTCAGAAACAAAATCATCCGAAGAACCAATATCACAAGATGATCAAAGTATGGATTCTATTGTACAAAAATCAAGTGAAGGCACAAAAGAATTATGGACTCCATCTCATGACTATATTATATCACATCATACTGAACCAGTTGATCAAACAAAGTAAATTTATAAATCATTTTCTTTCTATAAGGTTAAACCTCTAGCTCAAAACCAAATAGTGGTTTTAATAGCCAATGGTGTTTTCCTATATAATGCATTATAAACCAAGATTTTATAAGATGAATTATGACAGCAAGGTTTCTAACAAAATCGGACACGGTAGTTTTCAGATTCCAAAAGTTATTTTTTAACAATGCCATTTTAAAGAGCATAAAATTCTGAATAAAATGAGGAGTCACCGCTTTTTCTACAACTTTTCATTAAATACTTAATAGTATCACAAAAACTGTGAAAAAAACGAAATTTATCTGAAAATCAACTGAAAAACGTTTTTTTTTTCTTAGATTTTTGTAATAATTTTAACTTTTCAATAGAAGCTCGTATAAAATGCAACCATCTCTCATTTCATTCAGAATTTTGTGCTCTTTAAAATAGTATTGTTAGAAAAGTATCTTCCAGGATTTGAAAACTATTGTCTTCGGTTTTCTAGAAATCTTCCTATTATAATTTATCTATGAAATTTTGGTATTGAATACACTATATAAAAAAAATGTGTTTTTGTTAAACTTTTCTTCATTGGATTATATAAATATTCCGAGAATTAACATTATTTGACTATTTATTTTAATTTAGAACTAAAATTGATCAAACAACAGCTGATCAACATGATTTTCAACCAGACAATAAAGAAAAAATGTCTCCTACAACTCATACTACTGATAGTACGATTTCAAAAATTCAAGAAACAAATTTAGATCAACAAGATTTAACAATTGAAAAATCACCATTAATTACTGATTCTCTAGTCAATATTGCTGAACAAATAATAAATAATATTAAAAAACCTCAAAATGAACAAGTTAGTATTTCTCAGGCTTCTCCTGTTGTAACTGATGAAATACCTTCGACTCAATTACAATCAACACAACAACTCTCTCAGGATACTGAAGATGTAACAAAGAAACAACCATTAAATATTAATTATCTTACTGACATTATTTATGAAATACATTCTCAACCTCTTCGATCTTATTCGGATAAACAACAAATATATACCGATACACAGAGATCAATCGAATCGATCAGACAAGAAGACAGATTATCTTCAATTGATTCAACAATTGAAAGTACTCCATCTGTCATCACGTCCGACAAACAAAAACAACAACCAATCTCAAGTACGTTATCTATTACTTCTGAAGCCATTGAAAAACCAACATCAAAAGACGATCAATCATCAATTGAATTTCAATCAAGAAAAGAAATCGATGAACAAGTTTCATTAGATTCTTTAGTCAATATTGTCCGTCAGATTCATACTACACCACAAATTATTCATTTTCCATCGACTGATATTAAAACGAAAACTACTCATATTATTGAACAAGAACCTGAAAAGCCATTAGTTGACTCTCATGTAGAAATAGTAACAACAAATGAAAGCATTCCTAGTGAACTAGTGACAATAAAAACACAACCAATACATGCTGCTCAGGAGTTAATTCCGAAGCCAAGCGACATCTCCTTGGTCACTGAACATAAACAAGAAACAACTTCTGAAACACTAACCAAAGAAGATGAGCTAGAACGTCTACCATCCGAATCTTTGATCAACGCAGATTGGGAAACTCTTGTAGCACCGCATACTTCTCCAATACCATCAGATTATATTACTACTGAAACCACTGTATCGACAGAAAAACATGATAAAAAACCGATAATTGACTCATTTGATCAAAGTGTTACAAAACAAAATTTAGAAATGCCACAGAAAAATCTTCATGCAGTTGACAGGTAAATTATTTTTTTCTGTCATTTCTCATAATTGAAAATTTAATTTATTTATTAATAGTGTGCCATCAACATCGTTTGATTCACACGTTACACAAATTACTAGTCCTAAAACAGTAGAAGATCGTGCTAGTGAAGAATCGGTTACAAAACCACTTACAATTACTACACAAATTACAGAACAAACAATATCTGAAGATGATGAATTATCAATTCAAGATAAAGCAAAAACCGATGAAAATGGACATTATTCACTTGATGCACTAACAGAAATCGCTCGTGGCATATTATCTACGCCATTTACTATTTATCGACCATCAGCTGAAGTTAAAACAGGTACGATTAAAAGTGTTGATTTCTCGATTAGATCCGATGCCGATATTCTTCCATCTACAACAACAACATTAGAAGAAACAACACTTAATAAAACTACCGAAGTTGACAGAACTCAAGAAGCCAAGGAACATACTGAAACCGGCAAATTTACACCCATCGATAAGTCTGAAGAACAACCAACGATAGAAAACCTTACGACAATTGTTCGTGAAGTGACAGTAAAACTTACGGCTCCTTTTATCACTCATGAAGAATCGTCCGAATCTCGTGAAAAACAACAACCAGATGTTGTACAAATCATACAACAACCTATTCAACATGATGAAAGAGAAAAATTCGAACAGTCACAAACTCAAGACCAACTTCAAACTAACATTGAAACAATTACTACCGATCGTCAACCATCACCAGACAAAGAAACCCAAAGCCAGAAACATGAAGTTATTATTAAAGATGACACATTCGACGGCATCCTTGATGAACTTACTAAACCAATTCATGCTCAACAACCATTGATTGATCATGTGAAACAAACAACTTCTTTAGTTGATCAAGAACATGAAAAACAACCGATGGACTCCTGCATCAAAGTTGAAATATCACCAATAGCAGACACAGAAGAAGAAATCAAGACACCAAAAGATTTGGAACATACAGATTTACACCCGACAACGACTGTATCATCTGTTACTGAACCCAGAGCGGTAACAGTTGTTGAAACTACCATCGAAAAACCCAAACCAACAAGTCTTTCAACTGAAAAATCGACAATAACTGTTCCACACCCTTTAGTCACACCCGATACTGCTCATTTGCAAGCAGTCGATCATAAAGCACAACAAATTATCGAAACTGAAGAACCAGTCGAAAAACCGTCGCTCATATCAGTCACTGAAGCTCCGGAACCACTGCAACACATATTACCTTCAGGAATGATTACAACAGAAGAAGAAACACCAAAACCGGCTGATACGATACAACACGAACTAAAACAACCAAGTATCACATCATCTGTTATTGAAACTGTGCAAGAAACAACAACGGAATCTCATCTACCACCAACACAAGAGAAAATCGAAGAAGAAGAAGCTGAACGTCTCACATCCGAAGCACTGACTGCGGTTGTTCATGATATACTTGCTACACCACTTGCTGTCCATCTTTCAACGATTGATCACAAAGTAAAACAAATTACCGAACCTGAACAACAAGTCGAACAACCATCTCTCACAAAGGTCATTGAAGTCAGTAAACCAGGGAAACAGGTATTACCTTCAGAAGTGATTACAAAAGAAGAAGAAGCAACAAAACCAGCCGATGCAAAACAAAAAGAACTAGAACAACCAAGCATCACATCATCCGTTATTGAAATTGTACAAGAAACAACAACGGAATCTCATCCGCCACCAGCACATGAGAAAATCGAAGAACAAGAAGCTGAACGTCTCACATCAGAAATATTAACTGAAGTTGTTCATGATATTCTTGCTACACCACTTGCAGTTCATCATCCAATAGTTGATGATAAAGTGAAACAAATTTCCGAAACTGAACAACAAGTTGAACAACCATCCCTGACACCGGTCACTGAAGTTACTAAATCAGTTGCAGAGCTGTCACCTACAACAGTGATTACAATAGAACAAGAAACAATAAAACCGGCCGATGCAAAACAAAAAGAACTAGAACAACCAAGTACCACATCATCTGTTATTGAAATTGCACAAGAAACAACAACGGAATCTCATCCGCCACCAGCACATGGGAAAATGGAAGAACAAGAAGCTGAACGTCTCACATCAGAAATATTAACTGAAGTTGTTCATGATATTCTTGCTACACCACTTGCAGTTCATCTTCCAATAGTTCATGATAAGGTGAAACAAATTCCCGAAACTGAACAACAAGTTGAGCAACTATCCCTCACAAATGTCACTGAAGTTACTAAATCCATTGCAGAGCTATCGCCTACAGGAGCGATTACAAAAGAAGAAGAAACACCAAAACCGGCTGATATGATCCAAAAAGAACTAGAACAACCAAGTATCACGTCATCCGTTATTGAAATTGTACAAGAAACAACAACGGAATCTCATTCGCCATCAACTGAAGATAGACTGACAGCACATGAAGCTGAACGCCTCACATCAAAAGCAATAAGTGAAGCTGTTCGTGAAATTCTTGCAACACCAGTGGATGTTCATCTTCCTACAGTCGATCATGCAGCAGAACGACAAAAGGAAACTGATCAGTTACTGGAGACACAACATATCGAATCTCTCAATCAAATGGCCGATGAACTCACTCGCAGAATAACTGCATCAGTGATAACAACCAGTGAACCCTCGATCGAAGCAGCAAAATCTGAGGAGGAAGCAAAACAGGAGGTGCCCTTAATATCAACTGTAATTGACACTACTCAAGTACCAGCATCGGATGGTAGTATTCCACTTGCTGCAGACAGAACAAAAGGTGATATCGCAGAAGCTGGCTCTTTGGAAACATTAACTGAAGTTCTTCGTGAAATTCTATCTACACCACTTACCGTTCATCTTCCAACAGCCCATCACACCGCACAAGAAGTAATAAAAACAGAACAAGTGGTGGACAAACCATCTTCTGCCTATTTCCATGATATTGCCGAACCAGTTGGGGAGGTAATACCAACCGGCGTGATTATAACAGAAGAAGTACGCAAGCCGACAGATACGAATCAAATAGAACTGCAACAGCCGACTATCACATCATCTATCATTGAAACTGAACAAGAAACAGAAACAGAAACCGAATCTGAACCATCTACAGCGCAATATAAAATGAAAGAAGAAGAAGCGGAATGTCTCACATCAGAATCACTAACCGAGGTTGTTCATGATATACTTGCTACACCACTTGCTGTTCAACTTTCAACAGTCGATCACAAAGTAAAACAAAGTACTGAACCAGAGCAACAAGTTGAAAAGTCATCTCTCACACAGGGCATTGAAGTTACTAAACCAGTGTATCAGATGTTTCCTCCAGAAGCGATTGCAACAGAAGAAGAGACATCAAAACCTGGAGACACTAACATAAAAGAACTACAACAACCAAGTATCATATCAACTGTTATTGAAACTGTACGAGATGCAACAACGGAATCTCATACATCTCCAGCAGAAGAAAAAATCGGAGAACAAGATGCTGAACGTCTTACATCAGAGGCATTAGCTGAAGTTGTTCATGATATTGTTGCTACACCAGTTGCCGTTCATCTTTCAACACTCGATCATCAAGTTCAACAAGTTACCGAAACAAAAGATCAACTTGAAAAAGCAGCAGTCACACCGGTCACTGAAGTTACCAAACAAGTGGAGCAGATATCACCTTCAGAAGTGATTACAACAGAAGAGGAGACATCAAAAGCGGCAGAAAATAAACAAAAAGAGCTACAAGAACCAACTATCACATCATCTGTTATTGAAACTGTACAAGAAACAACAACTGAAACTCATGCACCTATAGCTGAAGACAAAATCGAACAACAAGAAGCTGAACGTCTTACATCCGAAATATTAACTGAAGTTGTTCATGATATTCTTGCTACACCACTTACAGTTCATGTTTCAACAGTTGACGATAAAGTGAAAGAGTTTGGCGAAACTGAGCGAAAAGTTGAACAACCATCGCTCACAGAGGTCATTGAAGTCACTAAACCAGGGAAACAGGTATTACCTTCAGAAGCAATTGGAACAGAAGAAGAAACATCAACACCGGCAGACACTAAACAAAAAGAGCTAGACCAACCAAGTATCACATCAGCTGTTATTGAAAGTGTACAAGAAACAACAACGGAATCTCATCCACCATCAGCTGAAGATAAACTGAAAGAACATGGAGCTGAACTCCTTACATCAGAAGCATTAACTGAAGTTGTTCATGATATTCTCGCTACACCGCTTGCCATTCATCTTCCAACAGCCGATCACAAAGTTCAAGAAGTTACAGAAAGAAGACAGCAGGTTGAAAAACCATCCCTCACAGAAGTCAGTGAGGTCACTAAACCAGTGGAACAGATATCACCATCAGAAGTGATTGCGACAGAAGAAGAAACATCAAAATTGGCAGACACTGATCATAAAGAACTACGACAACCGAGTATCATATCGCCTGCTATTGAAACTGTAGAAGAAACAACAACAGAATCTCATCCACTATCAGCTGACGATGAACTGAAAGGACATGAAGCTGAATTCCTTACATCAGAAGCAATAACTGAAGCTGTCCGTGAAATTCTAGCAACACCAGTGGATGTTCATCTTCCTACAGTTGATCGTGCTGTAGAGCGACCAAGTGGAATTGAACAATTAGTGGAGACACAACATATCGACTCTGTGAATGAATTAGCCAATGAACTCAGTCGCATAATAACTGCATCAGTGACAACCACCAGTGAAGTATTAAGAGAAGTGGAAAGATCTGAAGAAATAGTGGAACCGATGACCGATGGAAGATCAGCTGCAATGGACACCGCTCAAGTGGCACCATCGAATAGTCATATTCAACCAGCTGGAGACAGAAACAAAGAAGATGTCGCTGAAGGTAGCTCTTTAGAGACGCTAACTGAAGTTGTTCGTGAAATTCTTGCTACACCACTTGCCGTTCATCTTCCAACAGTCAAATCGATTGTTGAAAAAACAACGACAACGAATGAGGAAGAGGTTGAACAACCATCTAGTCAAACATATATTACGGGTTCTGAACATACAACAGCAGTTGCAGTGCCAATTGGAATAACAACAAAAGGAAACCTCCATTTGTCAGATACCAAGCCTGATGAAGTACAACTGATACCGGAAACGAAAGGTGCCATCAAAAGTATGGAGGAAGAAACAACAAAAGTTGATACGTCATCAGGCGAAGACACTACATCAGATCTTGATGCTGTACGGTTGTCATCGGTAAATTTGGATGAAGCTGTACCGGACGTTTCAGATACATCGATTAGCATCCTTCGTTCTTCCGTTGACGCCAAACCAGAAACTGTTGATTCAATCGAGCAACTGGCAGTAAGACCGGAAATTGCAGTCGTGGAGAAGTTTGATATCATTCCTGAAAATTTCGCCTCCGATAAAACGATCAGTATGATTGCTGATGTAGTCAAAACACCAATTGAAAAACAACATTCATCTAGTGACTTAGAAGAAAGAATAGAAGATGATAGTGTGTCAATTGATTCACTAGTTGGAAGCGTTCACGAAATTCTTGCTACACCACTTATTTTTAATTTGTCGTCAGTTGAAACTGATAGAACAGAATCGCAGGATAAGAAACTTTTTCAGAAACAATTAGATTCAAGTACAGTGACAAGCAAACCCGAAGATATAGAAAAACCTGTTGCTGGTCTTCGTCATTCATTTGCCGAAGAAACTGAACGTATACCATTGGATTCTTTAGTGGAAGTTACTCGTGAAATTTTAACAACGTCGAGTGTCAAAGATAAAATGGAAACAATTATTCCATCTGAGAAAGTAGAACAACCAATAGATTCCCTGATTAAAATCGTTGATGAAGTGGTTATATCACCGAAGCAATCAGGAACTGATGTGGATACGGAAAAGAAAGAAATATTATATACTCAACCACAGTTTAATGAATCTGACGAAAATGTTTCTCTGATAAGTGGATTAACTTCATCGAAAAATGATCAACTTTCGCATCAATCCGCGGCTACAGATATAATTGAGCAAGCAAGTAAAGAATCTTCTCTTCAAGATATTATTTCTAGTGAATCAAAATTATCATTACGTCCAACGATTGTTACAGAACCTATTCCTATTTCTGCAGATGAATCAATACCTAATGATGAAAATGAATTCATTTCATCATCATTATATACAGCAATCAATGCTATTGTTAATAATGCTATCAACAATGCATGTAATATAGTTGAACAATCAATTCTTGATGAAGATGATAATCAATCATTTGTCTCATTTTCTTCCAAAGATGAATTTCCCGAAAAAATTGATACTGATATTAATTTAACTAATGATATTGGAACTAAATCAGTCGATGATTATCATTCCATATCTGGACTAACCAATATTGTTAATAGTATACTTAAACTCCCAAATGAAATTTCTTCGGAATCTTCTATTTCACATGAAGATAATAAAGTTATTGTTTCTCCTAAATCTGATTTTGATAAACATATTAATATTAGTCACCTTTCGAATATTGTTGATACAATTCAAAAAACATTAAATATTCAAACACTTTCACCCGAACAATCCGACATCACAGAACCAACATCTTCGCAACGAGCCAGTGCCGTTCAACCCACTTTTTATATAGATGATGTCGATCAAGATACTTCAACTCCTAATGTACCAACATTTTTTATCCCTGAAACTCCAACTGGTTCAGAAGCTAATTTTAGAGAATTATACGAACATCGACATTTTATATCGAATGTTGCCGAAGAACCACCATCACATTTCACTCCTATAGATAGACAAGAATCCGTACAATCCGTAACAATACCAGAAGATAAGAAAGTTATTTCTGATTCACCTTTAGCATATTATGAATTACAAGAAAAACGTCATACATTAATGTCTCCTCAAGAATCAACTCAAAGTGAAAAACCAGAACAAATATCGTCTTCATTAACAACATGGACAACAATGCAACCATTAATTGATTATGAAGAAAAAGAAAAGAAACAAGACATGACTGATATTAATCTTGATGATCATGCTTATGAATGTGCACGACGTTTTGATTTAGAATCACCTTCAATTATATCCAATTTACCTACAAAAGAATATCGTCAAGTATTTGGTGTACCCGATGAAATTGTTACTACGGTTGATGATATGACACATCATATTGATCAAACACTTTCAATGGAATCAAAGCATGACAAAAAGTCGATTGTTTCAGATGATGTAAAAAATATTTCTTCACAATTTGATGAACAATTGCAATCTGATGATGGTCAATTTACAATACCTAACAATAATGGACCTGTTTCAGATAATGTTAAAAAAATTATAGAAGCACTTGAAGCACTTGAATCTGATTTACTTGAACATAAAGAAAATATACCATCAGAAACAAGTTTTGTAACGGAACCAGTTGAACATTTAATTAGTCAACAAAATGTCTTATCATCAAATGTTCATTCAACAGCACTTGATAATGATATTAAAGAAACACTTGAACATCAAACACTTATATTTCCATCAAAAGATGAATATGATGATGATGATTTATTGCCAAAGAAAACTGAAGCAAAAGTACTTCATGAAACAATTCAAGATGAAATTAACACAAATTCTGAATTAGATTCAAGATATTCTAAATTATTTGAACATATTGACAATTTAGAAAAACCAATCATTGATATACAATCATCTTCATCATCAATTATTGAAACGGAGACAAAAGCAACAGATATTCAAGAAGAAAAAGATGATGAACACCATTTACAACAACGATATGATACTCTCATTGATCATGTTGCAACACTTCAAGATGCTACGATTAAAAATCTTCTTCCCGATACTAATAAACAATTTGTTACATTGCCAATCGAGGAACAAGTCATTACATCGACTGACGAGAAATCAATTGAAGATAAAATAAATATTGATGGGCTAGCCGAAATAATTGAACATATAACTGTTACACCTTTTCGTACAGTTATTAGTTCATATGAAAAAAGAGCTCAGGAAGAACCAACTACCGATTCAAATCTTCAGATGACTCTCGAACAAATACTAGTACAAACACAACACCCAACAACCTATGTAAAATTACCACCACCAATTGACACAGTTTCATCTTCTAATGAATTCGATGACCAACAAAAAGCAATACAACAAACATCAGATTCTCATGAGGAAATACCTACTTCAACATCTACAGATAAAAAACAACTATCAAGTACAGAAGAAACACCAAACATCGAAGAAAAGGATCCAAATACTATTTTCGAAAAAGTAACATCAGTCAAAACCGATGCTTCTCCGAAATCAACTACGACTCAGGAGACAATTTCATCCATCGATTCAACTTTTTACGACAAAAAGGACCTTCCATCGAAAATTCCAACAACTGTTACAGAAACAAGTACAATCATTGAATCAGGAGCTACAACTGAGCAAGTAGTAAGCCCATTTGTACCAAAAGATGGAACTGCCGTTCTGACGTCATCCATTGAGAATGAAAAGACACCTACGGACAAACAACAACTAAGCTTAATCACAGGTCCATTAGAAATCATAAGCATTACACGACCAACCACAATTCCAACAACAGAAACACCCGTAACTAGTTTAAACACAGAAGCTGCAGCTATTCAACATGACTACATAGAATCAAGTTCAAGCCCACTAGCAGGCTACTTCAGCAGTAGTGATGTTTATCACGCGTACAAACAACCAATAGAACCCATCATTGAACACAAACCAGATTCATCCAGTTTCATTGATAAGGCAACAGCTTTCGCCTCCAGTATTATCTCCAGTGTTACCAGTGCTCTACCAACAACAGAAACAACTGAAGATTTGACCTCAACTACTGAATCGACGACTGTGCATGAAGAAGTTTTANTCGTACATGAAGAGACATCATCAAGTGGTCTGTTCGAAATAATGACAAATTTGTTACCATCATCACTCCGATCAACAAAAATAGAAGAAATTAGTTCTGAAACACCAAGTGCACCAGTTAAAGATAAAGAAGAGACTGTTTTATCCTCTGTTATGAGCACGGTAGAGGTTCCAACTGTCGGAGAACATCTAACTGAATCTACTAAACCACAAGTTGAAATACCAAAGCCAGAAGAGGTTCCAAGCGCCATAGCAGGCTATTTCAGTAGTAGCGATGTTTATCACGCATACAAACAACCGGCAAAATCAACGATTGAAGAACAAGAACCGGCATCTTCCAATATCATCGAGGAAGCGACATCGATCGCTAGTAATATTATTTTTAGATTCATAAGTGCTTCACCGGTACCGGAATCTCCGGATGCAACAACTCCAACTTGTGAATCACCTATTATCGAGCAACCTATTTCAGCTTTTCCTGTCACCGAAGAAGAAATCAGTGTTTCGAAACCTTTACTAATTGAACAGGTTATCGAGCAAGAACAGACAACAACAACCAGCCTGCTTGACACACTAAAAGATTTACTGCCATCTGGTCTCAAATCAACAGAAATAGAAGATATCTCTTCTGATGAATCAGTTCCTATTGTAAAAGAAGACCAAACAGCTATCCCATCCGTCTTCACTGAACCACGTGTGGCAAGTATTTCTAAGGAAGATCTAGCCAAACCTACTCAAACGCAAGTCGATACACAAGGAAAAGTAGTAGTTTCAGGTCCAGCAGCAGGTTACTTCAGTAGTAGTGATGTTTATCATGCATATAAACAACCAGTAGAACCCATCATTGAACACAAACCAGATTCATCCAGTTTCATTGATAAGGCAACAACTTTCGCCTCCAGTATTATCTCCAGTGTTACCAGTGCTCTACCAACAACAGAAACAACTGAAGATTTGACCTCAACTACTGAATCGACGACTGTGCATGAAGAAGTTTTAGTTCCAACTGTATCAGAACAAGAAGTTAGTGTTGTAAAACAATCACTAGATGAACAGGGCATTGACTATGAAGAAACAGCAACAAGTGGTCTAGTAGACAAATTGAAGAGTTTATTACCATCCGGTCTTGTATCAACAATAACAGAACATATCACTTCTGAAGAATCACCTTCAGCTACAAAAGAAGACCAACTACCTGTGGAATCATCTTTGACAGAAACGACAATGTCCACGATACCAGTGGAAGAACTAACTAAACATAGCGAACCATCAGTTCAGATACCACAAACCAAAGACATTTCAAGTCCTGTAGCCGGTTACTTTACCAGTAGTGATGTTTATCATGCATACAAACAACCAACTGAACCAGTTACTGAACAAAAACCGCATTCCTCGAGTGTCGTCGAAAAAGCCACAGCCATTGTTAGTAATCTTGTTTCCAGTCTCACCAGTGCTTTATCAACATCGGATTCACAAGAAGCCACTGTAAGCAGTCAAGCGTCAATCATCGATGAGAAAACTCCATCTACACCGAGCACAGAAACAGAAACTACAATCGTAAAACCATCTGCAGATAAACAGCATGTCGTACATGAAGAGACATCATCAAGTGGTCTGTTCGAAATAATGACAAATTTGTTACCATCATCACTCCGATCAACAAAAATAGAAGAAATTAGTTCTGAAACACCAAGTGCACCAGTTAACGATAAAGAAGAAATTGTTTTATCCTCTGTGATGAGTACTGTAGAGGTTCCAACTGCTGAAGAATATCTAACTGAATCTACTAAACCACGAGTTGAGAAATCGAAAACAGAAGAAGTTAAACAAGAAGAATCACTAAGTGGTTTGATTGAAATTGTGAAGGTCATTTCCACAACGACTATTCTACCTGCTACGTCCACTACAACAAGTACTGAAGAGGATATCGATACTGGTGATGATAAAGAACCTATGTCACTATCCATAAGTGAGACAAAAACAACATCGGAAATTTCCGAAAAGTCTCTGACGGAAAGTAGTCTACCAGTGGTGGGAATTCAACAAGAAAAAGGTGTTAGCGGTCATAGTCTAAGTGATGCTACAGAGTCGGATATTTCTCGTGCAGAAAAACCAACTATTGAAGAAACTGTTGCAGAAAAAGATTTGACAAGTGGTACTGACGAAGGTATATCCTCCATTACAGATGCATGCGTTGTAGTTCCGTATACTTTACCAACATCGATTACTTTAATAAATACGCATCATGAAAAGTCACTATCTGAAGATGATCAAACAGAAATGTCTGAATCTAGTGTAAGTGAATAAATCTTTTTTTAAATGAATATGTTTCATTTTTTTTTCTATTATAGTTACAGACACCACTAACTGATGAACCAAAACGTCCTGGTATATCTGATCTTATTGTACGACCTGCAGAAAGTTTTGACGGTACAACATCAAGTTTAATTTCTCTCGATGACAAATCGACTGCACCTAAACTTTCATCTACTTCACCAAAAGACTCAATTAATAATCAATTAGAAAGTTTAAATGTTATTGAAGTAAAAGAATCGTTAATTGAAACTGCAAAAGAAATTCTTGCTGCTCCTTTACAAGCTGCTGTTGATAAATATGAAAAAATAATTTCTACACAAGAACAATTATCATCACCAACAATTAGTTCAACCAAAGTCATTACTTCTGATTATCCTTCATTCACACAACACGATAAAATTGCTGATGTTGAAATTGGACGTCTTTCAACTACTGACCAGCCATCGATTGATGATTGGAATCAACATAAATCTATTATTACTATTACAGAAGAGACAAAAACACAAGATCAAATCGAAAAGAAAACATCTCAACCACTTCAAGTCATTGGTGATGATTATGCATGGTATTCGAGTCATTATATTATTTCCGATGCAGATGCTAAAATAGGTCAATTATACGAAGGATTATCTCATACTCTAAAAGAACTCGAACAACGACCTCCACCAACAACAATCAAATTTTCTCCTGAACCACATGAAAAAGTTTCAATACCAGATTATGATCGTCAAGTATTAGTTGAAACAAAAGATACACGAGAAAAAGTTCATGAATTAGCCGAAATAAGTACAATAATTACAACAACAATAACTACATCACACGATGAACAATCCAAAGATGAAGATGAATTTCAAGTTGTGCATCAGCACGAACGTGTACCACCATCAACAGTTCACGAAAGAACACCGTCACCTAAAATGAGTACTACTAAAACACTTGTTAGTCCAGATATCGATCTCGCACCAGCAGTTTTTCATGGACGTCCAATTTCACCAATTCTTACTTCACCAAGTGTCTCACAAACTACTACTTCTAGTAGTACCAGTAGCAAGAAAAAACATAAAAAATCAAAGAAAGATAAAAAAGAAGTGATGGTATTCGATGCTTCTATACCAGCAGTATCTGATAGCGACAAATACAAAACAGACGCTATCCAAACCGAAGTTGTAGAAAAACATATTGAGATAACTAAATCTGAACCATTACCATCGGTTACCAAAGATGATTCTCATGAAATTGATCAATCATTAAAAGAAACAAAACATATACTCGGTGAACCATCAGAAGAAATAACACATGAAATTGAACAGTTAATTAAAACAATAGATGAATTTAAACAAAATTTAATCGATACGACAAGTGAAGAACAACACGGTGAACTTTTATCAGCATCAATCGTTTCTGATAATGTTGAACAACAACAACAGCAAATAGACGATGATAATAATGATTCGACATCTTCGGATGCTTCACAATGGTTATCATCTTCATTTACAACTTTTCCTGAAGATAATAAACTTGATACTCAGCCTACTACGACTACTGCTACTACTGAACAAACTATTATAACACAAACTTCGACAACGATTTCTTCAGCTAAACCTGAATTGACAAAATCAGAATCATTACCAACTTCATCATCTACTAAAAAGAAGAAGAGTAGACAACAATCGACCGATCAAGAAAAAGTTCTATCATCTGAAATTCAATCATCATCATTACCTATTGAACAACCAAAAATAGAACCTAAATCAATACCGACAACACCACCACTACCACCATCACCCGTAAAGAAGACAACAACGACTATTTCTGCTAAAATTTCTAGTTCACCAGAAGAAGAAGAAGATGTAGATGACAATGAAGGTTTTCGAGTTGTACATTATCGTAAACATATATCATCAACTTCAGGACATGAAAAACCTCTACTATCATCAACAACAATTACATCTAAACAACGAATTAGTTCTGATTCTGATTCTAAACAGGCAACTGTTCAACGACGTCAAGTTTCATCAATACCTGTTGCTACCTCTACGATTACTACAGGTCCACAAACTTCAACTACAACAAAACCAAAACATAAAACACATAAAAAAGAAATAGCATTATTTGATGCTCCAGTATCTTCACCATCTACTGATACTGATGGTCTTTCTTCATCTAGTATTGATAAGAAGAGACATAAACATATTGAACAACAACCAGTAGATCAACATAAAACGATTAGTAGTATTACATTACAATCAAAACCTGTATCGTCAATAATTTTAACACCTGCCACCAGTACATCATTAACGCCAGAAGTAGAAAGTAAACAACAAGCAAAAGATGAAGAAAAAATTTTACAAATTCCATCATCAACAATATCTACTGTTCAGGAATCCAAAGTACAATCGGAACCAATAAAAACTTCAACAACAACAATACTTCGTATAAAAGCATCGACTTCACCCGAAGAAGAAGAAGAAGAAGAAGGTGAAGATGATGAAGGTTTTCGAGTAGTTCATTATAGAAAACGTATATCATCAGCACCAAGAGCCGATAAAACATTACCACCATTACCACCACAAACACGTAAACAAAATCTTGGTCGTGGTTTTGATAATAAATCTGTTGCTATTCATGAACGTCATGGATCAGGATCACGTTCTATGCCACGTACGACTACTGATAGTCAAACATCTTCTCATAAACGTCAACAAACTAAACCTAAACAAGATCGACAACAAATACCACCATTAATTATTCCACGTTCACCAACTTCTAAAGCAACACATATTATATCATCATTTAATATTGAACAAAAACCAATAGAACAAGTAAAACAACCAGTTAGTGATAATGTTCGACGAATAAGTGATACTCCTATAGTTCAATCATCAATTGTTGATCAGAAACCATCAAAAGAAATTGAACAAATACAAGCAACAATTATTGATGATAAACCACAATTAACACATATTGAACAACAAACTATTCTTCCTGTTGTAGAATTAAAACCATTAGAACAAAAAGAAATTGAAACAAATCTTGAACCATTACATACAGCTGTTTCATCTCTTGTTGATCAATCAATTCAACAAATTGTTCATGAATATCTTGTGCCAATTAAAGATGAAATTAAACATGTCGTTGAACAACAACAACAAGAACAACAACAACAAGAACAAGAACAACAACAACAACAACAACAACAACAACAACAACCTTCAATAAAAGAAAAAATTCCATCAATAATAACTTCAATTGAAAATCAAAAATCTAAAATTACTGAAGAAGATGATGATGGATTTCGTGTAGTACGTTATCGTAAACATGCACCTTCATCAACAATATATTCTCCACAACATAGTTTTGGTTCTGATACTGANAATGTTTTTCGACAATTTAAAAAAATCGAGTTTTACCCATTTTGAGCACTTTCAGGCAGCCATAACTTTTTTATTACCTTATGAGTACTTAAAAAAAATTCTATTTTTGGAATCAGGACAACTTGTTCTCTATACCCTGAAATTTTCTGGCCGTTCTGAGATGTGTCACTTCCCAAAGTCCGTGATTCTTACAGGCAATGGCTCTTAAACGGTAAAAAAAATACGACTACATCGATATTTATTTATTTTTCATTCTTTCTATGATATAATTCGATAAGATAAATATCCAGTCGAGTTTTAGTTGGACATCCATAGATCACCAACTTCCATAACGAGATCATCATTGAACTGGTTATTATTTTCAAATGTCACAAAATCGTGAATCTTCTATTGCTTATTTCGTATCTATAACGCATTGTCAACGAGATGATGCAATTCAATTTTTAGAAAAAACTCAATGGAGACTTGATCAATCTCTTAATTTATTCTTTGAACAAAACTTAAATCAAGAAAAATCTAATATTCATTCAAAACGTATCGATGCACCATATCAAAAGTACGAAAATAAACCAAATGCTCGTGCTTTTGATCTTGTTCCCCTCTTGCCTAGATCATTACCAAAAACGATTATTATACCAACGATGATCGAATTTCAACGGTAAATATTATTAACAAAATAAGTATTGTTTTTCTGATATTTATCATCTATTCTTAGATTTATTGAATCGTTTAATGTTGATACAACAAATCTACTTGAAAATTCATCGAAAATGATGGATTTAGCAATGAAATATGCTACACATAAACAAGTCAATATTCCATCAAATCAAATTGAACATTGGAAAATTCATTTAAAAGTTGATTATACACGTTTACAAACATTACTTGATAATGATATGTGCGCACCATTAGTTTGGATTGAGCATTTTGAACATTTATTAAATGGAAATACTTGTCAATTATTTGATTGTGATTACATGTTTACTATAAGCGATTAGAAAAACTTTGAAAACAAATTCACTTTCACTAAGCTTTTGTTTTATTTTTTAAAATAAAAAAAGGAGAAATTAAAAAAAAAGAATCTATTCAGAATTTTCCGGCCATAAGACACGTCCTTCCATACCACCATGTACCATTAAAACATTTCCTGTTAAATGTCCAGCTGTTTTATTTGATGCAAAAAATAAACAAGCTTGAGCAACATCTTCTGTTGTAGCTACTTTTCGTAATGGCATTGTTCGTAAAGCTTTTAAATGTCTTCCTTGTTCAATTGAACTTTCAGCCATTGGTGTACGTGTCCATCCAGGTGCAACTATATTACATCTTGCTTGTGGAATTATATGAATAATTTCATTTTTTAAAGATTTTATAAAACCTGATTGAAGTGCACCTTTACATGTAGCATAATCAATATGATTTGCTTCACCAAATTTACCAGCTGTTGAACCAATAAAAATTAAATTAGCATTTAAATTATTAGTATCTATTGTTGATGTTAAACGTTTTAGTTGTCGACACCATTCACGTGCATAAAGAAAATAAGATGTTAAATTCACATCCATTGTATTTTTCCATTGTTCAAGTGACATTTCCCATATTGGAGTTTCTTCCTCAACATAAATAGCATGATTAATAATACAAACATTAATAAGACCAAATCGATTACAACTTTGTTCGATTCCTTGTTGTACAGCTTGTTCATCGGTTGAATTTACTGAAACAGTAAAACAACGATCAGCATATTGATTAAGTAATGGAGTTAGAGTATCAAATGTACGATGATAATGTAGAGAAACATTAGCACCTTGTTCAAGAAATAAACGTGCAATAACAAAACCAATACCACCGGCGGCACCAGTTATTAGTATATGCTGACCTTGCATTTTCCTTTTTTGTTTTTTCTTCGTGTATAATAGAAGATAAGATATAAAATTTACACAAAAAACGACAAATTCTTTTTCTTCATCTCGAAAACCGAAAGAACGAACATCACAAAAAATAACTGATTGGATAAGAAAAATTCAAATAAATATCTGAAATTTGATTCATTTTAAAAATATTTAACATTATTCAATCAATTATTTTTCAGAAGAACTTAACTAAATATTAGATATTGTAAAAGAATATACACTATCGAAAGATGTCAGATATTGATTATAATCATAAAAAAATGGTTTTTGCCAACAAGTATTTAAGATTAATTTTATTTTCAATGTTATTTACAACTTCGTATGTTTCTGTCATGCATAACTTATTCATAATATCCAACTAATAGTACCAAGCTGGAAAAAGCCAAAGATCCGTACACCAGCATATTCCAAGGATATGTCAAAGCTATCTTCCAGAACTTTTTAACTATTGTAAATTAACTATCAACGTATGTCACGAGCAAAGAAATTTGAGTTTACTTTATATAATAAGTCTATCTGGCAATAAGGCTCAATAGTATTTGGACTTAGTTGCCAGACAGACTTATACAAAATAAACTCTAACTAATATGTTTGTAACGGGCGCCCGTTGGATTCAAAAATTTTCGGACTTGAACTTGACGATAGCTAGATTTAGATTTTATAGTCAAGAAGAGTTTTATTGCTTTTTTTTCTATTTTTTTTAGAAATAAGTTAAAGTTTTTTAAATAAAACGAATAAAAACTCTAAGAAATTCAAAAAGTATTATTATATGCATCAAAGTTTTCTTCCGATCTGAACCCGATAGAATCTACTCATGACACACGTTAATAAGTTGACTTAAAATAGTTAAANATAAATAATTTGGAGTACTGTATTTATTTGTTGACCTGTAGAAAAAAAATGTTTCAAACAAAAGTTATTCTAATTTAAAATTTATACTCTACTAACGCATCTTTTAATGCGTTCACTTGATTATGAGCATATTGATATGTTGATGCACCTTCAAATTTACGCAAGTTTTCTCTGAAATTTTTTTGTATCGGAATCATTTCTACAAGAAAAAAAAGAAAAATGATATCGACATTGTAAAATATTTCAGTATGTTGTTGTTTTTACGGAATATTTTCGTAGGACGATAATTTAATACATGACACAACCTTGTTGTTACATAATAGAAGAACATTTGACATAAACGACAAACATCATGAATAACAGTTATTGGTGGTATAATAAGTGGAGAACGTACAAAATATTCACGTAGAAATAAATATTGTTGTGAATGCCAAATTCTTCGTGCATCTTCATAGATTTGATCAAATCGTTTACTTTTAGAATAATAAAAGATCATAATTTTCATAAATGATATCAAAAAATAGGATATTTTACCTAAGCATCGCAATAAATAGAGTAATCAGTAAAATGTTAACAAATAACATATGAAGAGCAAGTAAAATATGAGTTGTAATTGACGATCCAGCATCTCGGTTAGCTTTAATATAATGTGAAATGAATGTTTTTCTTTTTTTAAATACATACCATCAAGACACCTTCGTTCATTATTCAACTTTCCATATAATAAATAATAGACAGGATATATAATATGGCGAAAAATACTTCGTGCACCAAAACTGTTGTCTACAGTACAATTTGATTCTATTCTAAAATTGTTCACTGTTGGAAAATACGCCATTGAACGAGATGCAGTACCATAAGCAAGCACAACAATTGCCAAGATACATAAGAAAAATAAAAGATCTTTCATCTATAAAAATAATATAAATGTAGAAGCTATATAAACATTTGTTTTTCAAATACCATTTTTCCAATAGCTGTTAGATGTGGTCCAAGAAATGGTATAACGATAACAAATGATAAGGAACGAAGCCACCATAGTTCTATATCATAAGCCATAATTACTCTAGATAGAATTTCATTTAAGGCATAAATAGTTTTTGAATTAAAACTTTATTCAATCAAATTTAATGCATAAGAATGAAATTCTTTCGAAAAAAAACTGGAAAATTAAATTTTTATTAGGAACTTCCTTTACTTCAGATTGTTTTCATCATACTCTGTTTGAAAGTACTTTTTAAAAGAAATTCATTTGTTTGGAAAGGATAATGTATAATAGACCACACTTTTAATCCTGCTTAGAGATGATCATAGGAAATAAATTCACGGGAAGCGTAAGTCAAGTTGAGGAGATAATACTAAATGATTTTAGCTAAATAATCTTACAATCAGAACGTAGTTCAACAAGAGATGAAGTACAAAATATCATTATATGTCCGATTAAATGAAAAAAGATGAACATTTGAGAGATATCTCAAACACTATAAGGAGAAATTCTTCCTCGAAATACCAAGAATAACAGACTTCTAACATAACAAAATCTCGAAACTTAGCTTTCTTTGAAACAATAATTAGAATGAAGTAGGCTTAGTTCTGATACTTTCTTTTATTTAACTAACTTTAATTCTCATAAAAAGTAACACACCTGGCAACAACAAATTGATCTTCGGACTTTGCATACGTAAATCGTAGAATTAATCCAATGTAGAAAAGGATAAATGCTAGAGTAGTCATTAATTTAAAGAAATCGCGCATTGAACGTTTTAACTTTCCTTTAAAGGATAAATTATCTTGAGAGAAAAACTGAAATGAGAAAAATAAAATGACATTAGTAGAAAATAATTAGATAATACATACGTAATACAATTCTTCTATTAACATGAATGATACGAAAACAGTCGTTAATATTTCAGTCCAATGTATTGCTGGACTTTGAGCTTTCGGTGGTGAGAAATTGAACAAAAGAACGTAGGAGAATAGTATTAGAAAAAACATATAAAAAATCTAAAATGAATAGATTATTATTCTTCTATATATCCAATCCTTATACGTATACATACCAAATGATAAAAAAATTTTGCATATAATGAACAATGAAAATGTATTAATTTGAGTATATATTGATTTAATTGCGGCATTCTTGTAACATAACGAGGATATTCAAATGCATATGAATCAGAATAATTTATGCCACATGAGTCCAGTCTGAGAGAAAAATTATAGAAATAATGTTTTTATATCGAACATATGCGTACTTTTGTTCAAGAGTTTCACCGACTTCTCTCTTCTAATAAAAAGAAAAAGAGAATTATATAATTTATGTTCAAAATAAGAAAAATAATCATAATTAAATCTAAATCTCTACAATATCATAATAACTATTGACCTTTTAAAACCTTTGGGTTTCCATGCAAAAATCAATTAGCTCCTGTATCATTTTTCTAAATCTATATAACCACATATTTATTTGATCTTAGATAACCTCATAATTGAAAGCAAAAGTTTTTATCAGTAAATTATATATATAGTTGATTAATGGGGATATTGAAATTTCACTAATTTGTGAAATTACAATAAACTTCCGTCAATTTGACTGCACATCAGATGTAGATGAAAAGATTCCCATTGTCTGTATTAATAAGTTATATTTGTGTGTTATAATTAGATATTTGTTATGTTATTTTACATAATGATTATTCTACTAAAATGTCTGCAACGACCCGCGACGGTGCAGGATATGAACGTTGACAAATAGAAAGACTACATCTACACATCACACTCAGATGTGAATATATCGTAAGTGTAAGCTATAGTACATATGTTCTAACAATATTAGCTTCAGTCCTTACTTGTGCTCTTAAATAATATCATTTTCGTAAATCTACTGAACTTTTGCTGATTGAAAAATGTCTTGCTAGCCGATTCATCAATTAAAATAAGACTAAGTATAGGAATTGAGAAATGTACTAATATAATTAACTTTCTTTTTTTTTAACCTCCGCACATAGAATAGAAACCCGAAGGGGAGGGGTTTCAATTCTGCAAGCTTTAACTTGGTAACAAAGCCTGCTCTAATAAACCAGTTTTTGTATTATTTGATAGACAAATGTTGATTCTTTCATTTTTCATAAAGCGAATCTCTATTTTTAACAGAGAATATGAACTCAAGGGTTAGGACGGAGTGTATACGACTTGTTTTTATTATCTAGTATCACGAATAATAGATACATGTAAGCATTATTTGCTTTGACTTCAGCTTAGAGTCTACAAGTAAATATGGATGAAAATAGCATAAGTTGCTCAATGTAACATTGATGTGAGAAGATTGTGAAAAGGCATTAAAAATGAATGAGAAAACAGTATGTTAGAGAGCGACACTTTCAACTATCATAAACTTTAATGTAGAACAATATTATTCCGAGAATGACAAAAGGTTATTGTACAGGAAAATCTCAATATATGAACATCTATCTATAATGAACATCTCCTTATTTTGAACAGTGAGCCATTGTGTCTGCTGCTATGCTTAATAAGAATCTCTGTGATATGAGCAACATATATTCTATCACTCATGCATCGAACGAAAAACAAATAAGATATATGTTCACCTCGTCATTTTGTGTAAACACCTAGTAGCATAAAATCATGTCAACGCATCAAAAAGACTCGAATCGAATAAAAGTTGCCTATCTCAATGAGATTTAATATCAAATAGTTTTGTAGTGTAAAAGAAGTTTTTTTCTATCTAAGAAAACAATATGATTGTTTGAACTAATATATCATTCGAAAAAAAAGAAAAGTGTCGTCTAAATTAATGATCATTAAATACTTACAAATTGCAAAAAAACTAAAAACTTCCCGCTAATTAGCACTTTTCACGAGTCCCGATGGTGCCCACATTAGAAAGGTTTCACTGTACAGTACGAGGGTTGTAAAAATGTAAACAAAATAATAACTTCATTCGGAGGTTATAAAACTTTCTGTTTATAGAATGTACAACTTAACATATCTACAGTAAATTATGAGAATATTTTACTGAGTAGTCATATTATATAAAATTATATTTATCATTCATTTAAAAAGGACAAATTTCTTCTTACCTTGTCATCGTCTCGATATGTAGCAAAAACAGGAGCTAACAGACCAAATGAGATGATTCCAGACAACAGAGCAATTCGATGACAATAACTATTTTGTTTCGGATGAAGTTTATTATACCAAATATTATTAATAGTTTGTACAGAAGCTGGTTGTGAAAGAAATAATTTATCATTTGCATCAGATGCAACCTTTAAACAAATGTTAATAACGAATCTGAGAGGAAACTATCAAACATACTTGAAGACAAGTAACATATCCATAAAGTTCATTTTGTTGTATAATAAGTTCACAAGTTCGGTCTACATCATTATCTTCGCATTTATTGAGACAATCGATTGCATATTTTTCAAAATATTTAATACTTTTCTCATAACTATCTCTTAATTCACCATAATGTGTTAGTGAATGATATTGTTTTAAAATTTTTGTTGCAATCAATGCTGAACATATTCGATTTTCCATAAAAACTAAAAGAACTTTTGCTATATCAATACGATTCATTAGTATTGTCCATAAATATAAATCGCGCATTATATATATATTTGCTTTATGTTTTTTTTGTTCAGTAGACAATGATTTATTATTTTCTGTATCTTTTTCTGTAGGTTTTTTTAATCCCCATTTAATTCGATTCTGTTCTTCATATTCTTCTGCATCGAAATAGAGTTTATGCATATAATCACCAATAAGAGCTTCCAGAATTGAATTAAGTGTATCAACTGATGTAATTTTTTTGTTACTGACAACTCCACGCTTATCGATAAAATATTTTAAATGGGTTTTTTTGGTATCCTAGAAAAATAAATTATACATAATTGACTCATTCCTTTCAAAGAAATCTCATACCATCATATCTCCATAAAGTTTTTCAATAAACTTATCATATCGACGGTGTCCTTTAAGAAATTTATTTGATGGAAAGAATATATCAGCTGGCCCAAGTCCTAATTTAAGAAATTCATAGACGAATACTGGTAAATCTTTTTGTAAAGCAATTATAAAAGCTTCTTCAGGATCCTATAAAAACCAACAACAACAAATCAAGGCAATGATAATGCGATAAATTTAATATACCAAAATATTATCTAATGAATTTAGGAGAACATATTTTTTCGCTATATGTATGCAATTCCAATCCATTGCTAATTCGAGAAACGGTGTTTGTTCTACAATTTAAGGTGTTTTTTGACTTTTATAAAATACAAGCATTGAATATTATTTTTCTTACTAGTTTGTCCTTTGTCAGTACTTTTCAATAAACTTTTGAATGCTAAAAAACAAAATCCTAGCAAAAAAGTAAAAACATATGACAATAATTAACTTACAATCATAAATGCTTTCAAAAATTGTTTCTGATAAACTCGTGTCTGAATATAAGTTAAATACCGTTATTTGAGACCTAACAGCTGGCTGTAAACAATACATAACTTGATTAAGTGCAATTTGCACTTTTCTATTTGAATCCTTATTTTTAATTTTCGAATTTGATTGATTTTTCTTCAATGAATAATCATTATGATCTATAATATTTTTTAAATCTTCTTCTAATTCTTTTTTATATTTGCTAAACATGTGATGAAGTCTTCAACAAGAATAAAAAAACAAAGTCAAAGATCAATAGTTCATCTTTTCGTACCGTTGTAAAGATGAATTGACATGAAGTTCAACATGTATATCAACTCTATAAAAGCTAATTAACCAAAATGAATAACCATAAACTTATTTCTACCTTTTTTCCGATTTTATTTTTTTGTCGTTGTCTAAGACTGGTATTGATGTTGTACGTTCTATGTTCAATTCTTCAATTTCAAATGGTACTTTACCTTGTTCAAATTCATCGTTGACATTTTTTACACGTGCTAACCAGCGACCGAAAAAATTAGCAATACGACCACTACCCTATATGCAAAAAAAAATGTTTATTTAAAATGATGAAAATCATTCCAACTCATTTAATTAACTTACATTGATAATGACAACGGGAATATTTTCTTTTAAATCATAATACATATTTTCTATAGTATTAGTACCACCCTCAACAACAATAGTGACAACCGGAGCTAAATATGTAAATAAAATACAGTTACATAGGATAACAAAAAAAATTGGTATATGTTAGGATTCGAGTCCATTGATGCATTGGTCATCGTTTCTGGTCGTAAATTTAGACAAGAGTTTCTAATTCATTGCAAATCGAAACGTTTTCTATGTTATGCTGAGGACATTCGAACGTAATGAATCCAATAGGAAGTGTCTATCACTGTAGGATTGTGTTAAAAATGCTCAATACAAAAATCTTCATCTACGAATTTACAATGTTGAAATGTCGACAAAAACATTTATAAAGAGCAATGATTTAATGATGAGAAGTCTATAATGTTCAATATTTCTTTTTTGTCTAGTTTGGATAAAAGAAAGAAAATTTTTTTCTCAGTTGGAGTGCAGGACGCAGAAAAAAAAATCTATCTTCCATATCGTAAATATCGGATCTATTGTTGCGGTAAACTAGTTATTTTTCAATACATTTTTATTGTATTGGAGGAAAGTACAGGAAAAGAAAAATTTAACAGAGAGAAGTCGATGGTTTGGAGCAGAAAATTTTCAAGGATCATCTATGAACCGGCTAAACGAATGATTTTAGTGGTAAATCTCGGTGAATTGTATACAATCGGTGTCGCTAACTAGACTGGTAAAACCGGCAATTTTTTTCCAGTTCTTATATCATCGATTAACGGATCTTTATCATGGAGTAAGCTTTGTTTGAAATAGTTATAAGCAGAAAACGATTTATGTAATATCGTTCGTTTGAAATCATTTAGATCAAATATTAACGTACGGTGAATATCTTTGTCTTTTTCAAGATTTGATATATATTTGCATAATCTCGTTCGAAAATCTTTTGTATCAAAACAGTAATATCGTCCATCGTCTAACATCAAGAAATGACTATGATTTTTTTCTAAGTAACATTCACCACTTTTCAATTTATTATCATCTTCTTCTTTGTTATCGATATCATAGAATTTGTATTTGTTATTCTAGAAAAAACTGTGTATAAACAAAAATATTTTTAACATGAAAATCTTTTATACTGGAGAATGATTATCATCTTTCCCTGTTACTTTTTCTCTGTCTTTAATACTTCCCCATTTACTAATACCAATAGCAATCATATTTCGTTTCGGATTTCTTGATTGAAATGTATGAATTGCTTGTCCAACAAGTTGTACAATTCCAATATCGTATCCAGTTGTAATCATCCATACGTCTATGATAAGTATATAAATTCTAGTATTTTTTACGCATTTATATATATTTACTTGACTTAAGAGCAACATTCATAATCCCATTAATAACACTTGATGCAAGTTTACTGTTCAATTTAAAATACTTTGCACCACCAATTATTGACATAATCAAATTAGGTTTTGGAATTTTCCAAATTTTAAAAAGGATATTTCCAATTTTCGATAATTGTGTCTCTATATCAAGACGAACATACTAAATGAACATGAACGAAAACTTTAATCCACTACAAAACAATCTCATAGATTTTTCATACTAAGGCATCATTAATAAGTCTACCAAAATATTCATTGTTTGGCTCTTTTTTAGTATGAGTACTTATGGCCCATTCATCTTTTTGTTCTACTATTTGACTTTCATGAATCATTTTGTGTTTATTACATACACATATTTCTTGATCATCACTAATAAGAATATAAAATAAATAGATATTCAATATGTATAACAAAATACAAACCGATTGGGATGAAATTTTCGACAAATTCGATAATTGATATTCAGTTTCTTGAAATCTTCAAACGAAATTTCGTGTTCAGACTAAATGTTAAGATAAATTAATGAGATCTGTGTGTATGAATCCATTGAGTTCGAAATCATTTCTAAGCACTAAGATTTATTAAAATTTTAAATCAATATTCATTTTTTCAAAAATTTTATTAAATATAACATGCAGAATGCTTGTAGAGCATGATAGTATTTAAAACAATCAATAAGATATAACCTCACATTACACTCGATACATTCATACGGCGTTTCTCTCCTTTTCTCACAGAATGAACAGGGGCTACACGAAGGGTCTAAAATTGAGGGGGAGAGAAAGTATGTTAAGGCGTCCGCTTCCCAAAATCAATTTTTTAAAGTTCAATTTTCGAGACAAATATATGGATGTTACATCTAAGGTGAGTAGTTTTAAAATTCATGAAAGTCACTTCCAATTTTGAAAGGTTTCTTTAGAATAATCGATAAACGTCTAAAGTTTTTTAGCAAAAGATATGGTACCTAAGACTACAGAGAACTTAAAGATCCACGGTCAAAAAAAGTGAGCTCCAAACTACGTAAACTCCAAATTTGGAGCTCACTTCACGCCAGTCCATATTTTACCATTATTTAGAGTTCACGTTTTATCTCAAGGGCTATTCTATGAAGGTATCCATAGGTCTTCAAGCTCTATCCTATGAAGGTACCCATAGGTCCTCAAGTCGTATACTATGAAGGTACTATAGGTCCTCAAGCCCTACCCTATGAAGGTACCTATAGGTCCTCAAGTCTTATATTCTGAAGGTACCCATGAGTCCTCAAGTCGTATACTATGAAGGTACTCATAAGTCCGCAAGTCCTATACTAGGAAGGTATCCATGAGTCCTCAAGACTATATTATGAAGGTACCCATGGGTCTTCAAGCTCTATCCTACAAAGGTATCCATAGGTCCTGAAGCCCTATACTATGAAGGTACCCATAGATCCTCAAGAGCTATAATATGAAGGTACTCATAGTTTCTGAAGCCCTATATTATAGAGATATCCATAGGCCCTCAATAGCTATAGCATGAAGGCACCCATTGGTTCTCAAGAGTTATTCTTTTGGTGCTATCCACACGTTCTGAAGGGTTATCCTATACAGGTATAGGTAGATCTTCAATGGCTATCTTATAGAGGTCCCGCAAGTCTTCAAGATTTGTCTTACGGTGGTAGGCTTTAGTACACAATTAGTATCCTATAGAGGCACTTATACATTGTCAAGAAGGTTTCTATAGAGGTACCCATGGATTCTCAAGCACTATCCGATACTCATTGACTTTCTGCAATGCAGCACAGATTCGTTCATTCTTATGAGTTAAAATATTGGAGGTAAGTCAAAGCACAATTAGCAAATAAAGTACGACTTGTCATGCAGTATGGACCGAACTAGCGTCAAGTTTTAGGTATGTATGTTTGCAATATTGTCATTGTTGCTGAACATGGTATCCTATTGCTTAACGAAATCATCAAGCATAGTATTTAAAAATTTTTTGAATATTTTAACCATAATGTTTGGGCCTTTACTGTGGCACACTACTTACAATCTCGTGTACCTATGTGATATGATGTCCAGGCTTTTAAATAAGCACTCAGATATTTGTCTTACATTCTCGCACTCCGTCTAGTCGTGACATCGATTAGGATTCGAAGTCTATGTGGTCATTATTTTGTTTCTTATCGGTGGTGTATTCTATTGTTATATGATTTGGCATTCGAATCAGGTTTTGATGATGTGTTCTTGTAGTTGGATTCGCGTCGCAGGCTTTTTATGGTTCTCAACCATTTACTCTGGTACCAGTTGAACTGTTTTGAGATCAGCTCAGTGACATTATTGCTAACCTTTTAAAAAGTTTTTATATGAATGCATGTACTGTTTGTGGAGAGTCTCGTGACGTTTTATAGATGTGGAAGGGTGCGACTATGAATGAAAACCAGATCCACATGCACGCCCCACACTCAACTGACATCAACAGTACCTACGTAGTATAGCCCTTCAGGGCTCATAGGTACCACTATAGAATAGCTCCTCAGAATCTATAGGGGCCATCATATCATAGATCTTGAGGACCTATGAAAACCTCCATAAGATAGAACTTGAGGACCTATGCGTACTTCCATAGGATAACCCTTGAGAACTTATGGATACCTCTGTAGTATACAATCTGAGGACCTATGACTACCTTCAAAATATAGCCCTTGAGGATCTACGAGTATCTTCATAATATAGGACTTGAGGACTTATGCGTACCTTCACAATATAGCCCTTGAGGACCTATGGGTACCTTCATAATATAACTCGTATAAGCTTGTGAGTACTAATTAACAGATGTACTAGTTACGTTGAATACTAATTATGTTGAGTCGTAATGAAGGTGAATACTAATTAGGTTCAGTCCTAATTCGAGTGACTACTTTTTGGATTAAGCACTTATTAGGGTGAGTACTAATCAGGGTGAGTATTAATTAATTGGAGTACGATCTTAGCAATTATAATCAGTTTTAACAATCGCAAGTAGTCTTAGTACAGCACTTTATAAAATATGGACTGTATAGAACGGGTAAAACATGGAAGCGTAAGGGAGCGCCAAATTTGGAGTTTACGTGTAGAGTTTATTTTTTTTGACCTAGATCCACTTGTTTTTTATCATCCATAATGACAGACAATAACATAGCATACCGTTGTACGTCTACTTGATGAGACATCTGATGAGCTTTTAATTGATATACAATATAACTACGTTTCTCTCTGAAGTATGAATATTATTCGCACTTTTTTCTCAAAACTGTTTTTTGGCAAAATTGAGAAACTCTGAACAAATTTTTTTTACTATAGTTCGTTCCATCGAACTGCAGTTTTTTTATTCGATAGATTGATGAATTCTCTTTCGAAGCAGGCAAATGGAATTTTTTATTCCACCCTTGATATTGAACAAACCAAAGATTTTCTAGAAAATGTTGGCTACGAATTTAAGAACTTTAAGGTTTCAAGAGTTGCAAAAATGAAATAAAACTAAAATAAAAAAAATCCTTACCCTCATCCGAAGCAGCAAGGAGGTTTCTTTCAAAAGAGACCATCCTGGGCGCTATAGCTAGAAAAGTATTGAAAAGTTCCTTGTTCCTATCGAAGTCCTATTTTGCCTCTTGATTGTACGAAATCTTTCAAACAGTAAGGTTTAGAGCCTTGAATGTTTTTATATATGTACAACTAAGAGCCGAACATTCCTAGAAAATTTCGTGAAATCTCCACGTACCATGATGAAAATCAATTTTTGAGGAAGAGGGAGTGGTCTTCAAAAATTAATGACAGACTTATGTATAGCGAAAACGTCCTAACACAACATGACATTCAAATTATTAAAAAAGTTGCTCCACCACCTTCCGAGTCATCGATTGAGAAAGAATAAAAATAAGAGATAAATGCATGCATTCTGTTTTGAAAATCCATCAAAGATTACGATCCATTTTTGATGCAATAAGATTGATTGTAAGTTACCATCATTGTGAACATGTAATTAAATAACATCTATCTGTCGACCATTCTTCTTTTTTGTTGTTTTGACATATCAGATGATAAAATCATTTAATACTGTTCTATACTTTTCACAGTCAAAAAATCCACTTATTGGAAGGTTTACATTCCCTCTCCACACACCCCTACCCCACTTGCATGGCTCTTGAGTATGAGCACAAATATGACACTTTCGCTTTGGATTTGGTTGAATGACTGTAGATGTAATGCGTGGAAGAAAATGTCGCGCTATGAGTCGGAGTGGATTTTCAGAAAGTGGTCAAATTTATAGAATCCAAACGATTAAATCATTTATAGATTGTATTCAGTGCACGAAGTTTCAGGATGAGATTTTTCGTCATCGGGAGCCAATGAGTTAAATAAAAATTTACCTGTACTGAATGCTGAATAGAACAAGTTCGAGATATCATTTACTTGAAATTGTGTTATGAATAAATCGTTCTGTTTTCAATTGTAGTTAAGACTATAGAATGCTTTCTTGTGTTCACTTTTATGCTCAACAGTTACGTAGCGACCATAAATGTATTTATTGTTAGTTACTATGAAAATAAAAAGGAAATCAAACACTAGCCGAGGAACATAAGGTAAAAAAAAATTAATGACTTTTTTGTTTGCATTCTTTTTTTCTCGGAAAAAAGGTTTTTGAGACGAGCATTTGTTTAGCAGAGAAGAAAAAAAGAAAATTAAAGGTTCTTATACTTATTTGGAATTTATTTCAAATAATAATCTATGAGATATGTCTTCAGAAACTGTTGAAAATATATCAAGGTATGAGTTTTTAATCTCTTTTGATATTCTAAATTACTTTTTCATATTTTTGGGTTTTTTTAGTTTAAGTCGTCAACAAAATGAAAAAGTTATTCATTTTTATTATTTTTAATTTTAATGATACATTTTATTTCGTTTATAGAGCAATAATGAATTATGGAAAAAACTTAAGATTGAGTTTCTTCTCGACCATCCAGTATTTCCAGATAATGTAATTTACGGCAATATCAAAGTTGATCCTGAGAGCGCTCAGCATATGATTAAAAAATTCATAGTAAGTATATTTATTTTAACAAAAATGATATTGCTTAAATTTTAATGAACTGAAGTTAGTCATTGAAATAGTTTTCAATCGATGAAGATGATATACTTCATTATATTTTTTTACAGTTAGTTGTTGATGGATCAAATGAAACTGATTTTGACAGTAAATATCGTTATATATCAGCACGTGGCTTCGATCCAACACAAAAAGAAATATCAGTACGGATTGATGCTGAGCCCAAAGATTCAAAGTTAAATCCTAAAGAATCCAATACTGTAGTATGTTATACCTATCGTTAATATCTGCTTATAATAATACTAGTAGAATTTTTCGATTGTACGTAAAATTTTTTCTTTCACACCAACTGCAAGCATTAAATGGACAGATGAAAATTCGAAACCCGATCTGATTATTCAATGGTCTCATCTTGGTAATCCAGTGGTTAAAAAATATATTCTTATTTTAGATAAAAAAGAAATTAATTATGTATGTTTAACAACTACATTTAAAAAAGTTTTTTCTATTAATATATATCATATAGATTCGTAATCCTACAATAGCTGATGCATACAAAGTTTGTCTCAAAAGATTTGATGCTGGTCCAAAGTCTACTGAACATACTATTCAAATCGTAGCAATACTTACTAGTAAGTTATTAGTTTTTTCTTATTATGATAATAGTACTTTGATCATTTTCAAAGATAATGACGAAAAATATACATCAGATCTCATCAAATTTGTTGTGCCTGATAGAAAGAAGAACAAAGAAATGCAACTTATAACCATTACTCAATTAAATGGTTTGTTTTTTTCTTGCTATTGTTATTTAAAGTGAAATGAACATGTAGTAAAATACTGAAAATACTGCGATCTTTGTTCGTAAATAGGAAAATCGAATTGTGGAAAAATTTCGAAAATATGTTTGATCTATAGCAAAAGTTTCATCTGGAGAAGTTGTTCATTAAACAAGAGTGAACTAGAATTTGTTTACGAATTTGAAATTCTTCTGTATTTTTTTCGATGAGACAACAAATTGTAATACTAAAAGAAATCTAGAAAAAAAGAATTATTTAACTTTGTGATTTATTTTCTTCACCTAAAACGTAAGAATTTGAAGATTTCTTATACAGGGTGGGCCATAAGTAACACCCCGATAAAAAATTCAAATATCTCCACTCATATGACTACACAAAGAGCTGAAATTTTTACCAGTGATAGAGGCTAACCTAAAGTTTTTTTTCATATAAGAAACGTGGGTCAGTGAACGTTACTGTGTAGTAAGATCATCATCAATAAGGATTTTTCACTTATTACGAGCTCTGCAATGCTCTGCAAAGTCATTTTAGAGCATTTCTATGGACTTTTACACGTCTATTTATGTTGTTTTAGACATAAATAATAAAACTTTATCGTAACTAAAGTGTATAAATTTTTTAATTTCAGATTCAGAATAATCCATGGCACGGCGTCAATTGAGTTTAAACGAGAAAACATGGATTGTCAAAAACATGTATCGGCTTGAATATCCAATCAATGTGCAAAGATTATAGTCAAAGGAAATGAGTAATAATCCTCCAGATCGAAAAACGATAAGATCACTTATGAATAAGTTTGAACAGACTGGTTCGGTCCTTAATAGTGATCCACCTGATCGATCAATATCA